GAAGAAGAATGTACATTCTTTTCAAATGCTCTCCCCACTTTCTGCTTGGAGAACCACTTCTTACCTTTTAAACCCCAACTCAGAAATTGCTTCTCCTGAGAAGCCTTCAGGGTTGAGTTAGTCACTCCCTTGTCTGTGTTCCCAGTCTTAGGGACAGCTCTCATGCCACCTCTCAGACTGTAATGTAATTAATTGTTTTCACGGCCCTCTTCCTTGCTAAGCAGTGTCCTTCCTCTTCAGTGTCAGAGAACAGGCCTGGTGTTTCTCTGTATGCCCAGCCTCCAGCTTAGGTGCCTGCACATCCTAGAAGCTCTAGAGGACCCATGAGGCATGGGAAATTCAGTGCTCTACTGAGGGAGCACTTGGAAAACTCCTTCCACCCTCCCTAGGGTGAATACCAGCCTTACCCTGACTTTTTGAACCTCACTTCTCTCCCTACTAATATCTAGCCAGTACATGAGCCTGGTAATTTTTTTTTTTTAACTAGAAAACTTGGAAAGAGTGTTCAGTCCCCTACACCTTTAAAAGGTGGTTTGGACACAGGCACGGGGCTCCAAGATGCACCAGTTTAAGTAGGGCAGTTGTGTTTGGTTGTAAATGTTGGTAGTGTGGGAGTCTGGATAGCTGGGGATAGGTAGGGGTCCATTCAGATGGGGAGTAAGATTACCTAGGTATAGTTCTACTAAAAAACAAACCAAACTCACTGCCATCAAGTTGCTTCCAACTCACAGTTCTACTAGTTACTTCAAATGAAATTTGATGAAACTAAATATGGAGTCCCATTTCTCACACCAACTGAAAGGATATCAGATCCCGCTTCTCTGACAAACTGTGATGATCGTCCAAATGAACTATTATCGATTCTGTTCCACTTCTAACACCAGCTGCACATGCAGCACTTCCTCTTCTGACCATGACCACGTGGAGCAAGGTCAGACCTCACAAGAAAAGGCAAGGTCTTCTAGACTGCCAAGTCTGCCTGAGACCTCAATGGCAGCTGCACACTTGGGAGCCCCCGTGACACTAGCTCACCTCACCTGCTGGCCGGGAACTGGGCACTTCCCTCTAACCGCTCAGTACTAGCCAGAACTTCAGGTGTCCCCAGGGCTCCCCTCACTTCTGGCCTACTGACTTTCACTGGTCTCTTATGTTCAATAACTCACTAGAAAGACTCACAGAACTCACAGAAAGTGCCGTATTTAGAGTTTTATTATAGCAAAAAGGATACAAGAGAAGAGACATAGGGCAAGGGCTGGAAAGGTTCTCAGGGCAGAGTTTCCATGTCCCAAAATGAACACCCCACCCTCCCATGGGCATTGATGTTTGCCATCAACCAGAAAGCCCATAGAGCTTCCTGGTCCAAAGCCTTTATTGGAGCCTCATTATATAGGTGTGACTGATTGAACTCAACCTTTAGTTCCTCTTCCCTGCGATGATATCCCTGTGGGTCTTTCTGGCCTGGCTGCCCACACTCAAGAGGCAACATTAGCATAAACCCTTAGGAGCTGTGTCTGAAAGCCTCCTCAAAGACATTTCAGTCACTGGGAAAATGCCAAGGCTTTTTAGGTTATCTTTCAGGAGCCGAAAACGAAGACCAAATTCTTTGGGTAGAGTTAAATTCTTTACCTCACAGACTGTTAAAGACATTTGTCAGAGGAACAAAATCTGGAAAGGGTATCAAGAAGCAAATTAATGTATACAGATTAATTTCCTATTATTATGTAATGGGTATTTTTCAGTTTCAACAGTTTTGTTTCCTTATTGAAGTAAACAGCCAATTTTCTGATACATAACATTCTAACTGAATTACAGGAACCCTGGTGGTACAGTGGTTAAGTGCTGGGCTGCTAACTGAAAGGTCGTCAGTTCGAACCCTCCATGGGAGAAAGATGTGGCAGTCTGCTTCCATAAGGATATACAACTTGCTAACCCCATGGGGCAATTCTGCTTTGCCCTATAGAGGCACAATGAGTCAGAATGGACTCACTGGCAATGGGTCAACGAATTATAAAACAGAAAACAATATTTAGTATCTTTCCTTTATAATAAAACCCTTAAAGTATTCTTTCAAATTAAAAAAAAAAAAAAAGGAAAATCAAGACTATACTACTACCCAGCTCACTCCTGCCCTTTTTATCTTATTTTTTTACTGGCTCTTCTCTCTCCTTTCAGCTGTCCTTCTTAGATTTACAAAAAAGAACATATAAGCCACTGTAAAAGAGTTCCTGCGTACAAGAGGAAAAAAATCCTCCACGTTAAAGACACACGTACTCATCCTAGACCCGAGGAAGTTCATTCCCAGGGCAGTGTTGCAAATTGAGCCAGTAGACACCTAGAGAGATGTCACCCTTCTCCCTGCCTTTCCTCTCAGCCACCTTAGAGATTGAGCAGACATAGGATCAGAGAGAGAAGATGGGGTGGAAAGAGGCCACAAACAAATCACAAAAGACTCCTGTAAGTGTATAGGTGCTTATATTTGTTTGAATAATCAAGGAGGAGGGTTAGAAGGATACCCTCTATCCAGTTAGTGTTTGAACGTTAATTTGGAAGGTTGAAGAGAAGGGTGGGCTAAAGAGCTGTTCTGGTTACCTAGTGCTCTGACAAGAATATACCACAAATGGGATGGCCTTAACAAACAGGAGTTTATTCTTACAATTTGGAGGCTTTAA